GCTAAATGTATTGTCCAAACATACCCAATCCTCCCAGGAACCATTGGGATTTTCGTGAATAAATGGGTCCAGTCTTGTCATCAAAGTCTCACAGGCAATCTAAAAAATTGATACAGGAAATCATTTTATTGAAAAGCTACATGAAAAAGGAAAGTTTGATGTGATACAAATCTCAATTTAAGATATCCATCCTATACGCAATTCAACAATTGTAATTATAATTCATACCTTAACAGCATTCCCATATAGTTCTGTTCCCGTGGAGCCAGCAGTTGCAACCGTGTTAGGCACCTTATCCGTACTGGTCTCATTGATATGAATACGTTCAGAGGGTATACGTAGAACACGACTTGCGATCTGTATCGTCTTGGTATGTAACCCTTGACCCATCTCTATACCACCATGGGTAAGTAACACTGAACCATCCAGATATATATGCACCAATGCAGCGCCCTGTGAACCACAATGCACATATGAATTACATAGTGGTGGAATCAAAGTCAACAACTGTCTGATATTAACTCAGTATATCATTGAACAAATAAATAAATAAATAAATACATTTAGAGCCGCAAATTCGCGATAATTATTGTATTTTTAGTCCATCTGACAAGACAGTATAAACACCATTATGGTTGTGTTTTGATTACACAATGATATTGTTGTAAATCTTGATCACGCTCTGCACAGTGTGGAACGTGCCGACACTTAGCGAGTGTTCGCACTTATGTTAGCTCCGTGTTTTCAACAAAAGACGGGGTCTTCAATCTTCGAATCAGGGTTCTAATTTTACGAGTATACCTCTTCCACTACGCGATCTCATGCTTGTCGTTGATTGGTCGATGCATAACAGTGGTACTACTTTCAAAGACGCCCACCCAAACATTGATATGCACGTGTTGATTTATTTCTACTGGTTCTACTGATAAAATATGTTATCGAGAGCTGTTAATTTACAAAAGAAATTTACAAAAGAAATTGTTATCACGGAATAACGGTTACTAAGTTGTTATTCGGTTCTTAAAGCAGTCAGGCCTGTTGACCACCAGGCGAAGAAATATAAAGAAACGAAAGCACTTCGTGATATTGACAGCTAACTAACCCTATTGCCACTCCGTTTGTTACCACAGACAGTGAAAAAAAAACGAGATACTCAATTTGAAAACAGCCATAATCTATGAAAAAAATACGCGCGGTTGTTCTTTTACGCACTGGGCGCAATGACGCTGCAGATCAATGTTTTCTTCACACATGCAATGTTACTAAAAAAATATTTTAGTATTGTACTTCGACCCATAGTTCTCTAGGTAACTGACACAATCACTTTTACTTACTGCCCTTGGTTGAATGAGGAATACTCGGACAGGTTTATATTAGATCGAATGAAAAAACGCAGAAATAGGGACAATAGCGTCAATTAACAAATTCGCACAAAAAAATTACCCCAGAATATCTGGAGATTAGTATGAAAGCGACTGTAAAATAATTACATCTAATTTGTGCATGACCATACATATTTTGCAGTCAGTTATTATAGAAGGGCTTCTTAATACCCCACCACACAGTGTCAGCACATACATATGCATGACTTTTAAAATTCATTATTTAGTGACTGACCTGATTACATATGTTAATAGCTTTACCATTATAGGAATTGACAGGAACTATTGACACTCCTCGTTTCTTCCAGCGATTTGTACTAAAAGTGACAACATGTTCATGAATGATTTATTACAAAGTACAATTTCGTCTAGCTCATTATACATATATGCAAACAAATGTGTTAAATTGATTACAGGATAAAAGTAGTATATTATATGTCTTATTCATAATATTGCATGACACACCTATTAAAATAACTGTTTTTTTCTAATCTTTTATGATAATCACTTTTTACAATACACTCATTCCAACATCTTGTTAAATTACCAATATCAGGGACTTCTTGATAAAAGTGATTACTTTCACCTTCCTTATGCATATTCATCTCTCGAACCTGTAATTATCAATATTATGATAGCATGGGTGCTGTAACAGTGTGTTACTCAGTGAAGGAAGCTCTTTGTTACTACTGAAGTATAATTCGTTTTTAACTTCTTATCATCAAATTAAATTCAATTTACTATTTTGAGGGAAGAATGACAAGGTTTATTTGTACGTTATTGCACAAGGTTTGCACCACTAACTCTACACTAGATAGATCAGCATAGATGTGGTTAAATTCAATTAATGGAATTTTTGTCAGTTGTTTTCGTATTAAAAGATTGTTTAACATTTGGTTATGCGTGTGCAGATTTTTCAAAATTTAATTACCGATTCTGTATTTGGGATAGTGATTAAAAAATGTTACACTAGTAGTTTTAATTTACAGAGACTTGATGATTATTAAAGACTTTTTTACTTTTTCAGATCTCACCTCTACAGAAGGAACACCACATGTTTTAGCCACCAGGTCCATGATAGTTTCTATCACTGGCGTTGCCTGCACAAATCCAGGTGATCGCATTACAGTGTTCGATGCCATATTTGTTTTACAAGCTCTTCCAGATATTGCATAGGCAGGTATGTTATATGCATTCTGCAGCTGAATCAACATTTTTTCCATAGTCTAAAATGTAAAGCGCAGAACTTACACGAGAGATAACAGACAAATATAAAGTTTAAGTTCAACTCCAGCGCATAATAGAATGCACACATACATTGCAGTGTATCACACTTTCCAACTCCATCATTTAACATCTTTAAACATTTATTATTTTTGTTTTAGCATAAATCATTACAGATTTTACTAATCAAATTCTGAGAGTTAGGTCGCAGATAATAATATAAACTAATTCCCTTGTAAGCAAGGTAACCAAGGACAGTGCAATGATTTAATACTTACATTAATTGAAATGTCGTAACCGAATCCAGCATTTAGATATAGTGAACATTGAAGTGCACAAAGTCTTCCAGTTTTACTGAAACCAACATTATACCTGGCCAATATCGGTTCTCGCTTACCAACAATTTGCATATCTAAATCACGCCCAACGATTAGACGAGTTGGTTTACCAGTTCTAGAGGTTGCAAATAAAATAGGGTTAAAAGGGCCGGAGTCTTGCAACCCAGAGTCCAACAAAAAATGTAATGAAATTAAACGATTTTGTCATTTGTCGTATGTTTAATTTCATGAAACAAACTCAATAACGACCTACATTTTGTCAAATCTAAAACAATACTTACAATTCACTTGTAATATAAAAAGATGAATTTCAACGCTAGTTGTTGTAGGATATATCATTAAAGACTACAATATATCTACCACAAAGGCATATAAGCTCAGCATATAGTTAAATGCATATATGTTAACTATTTACTTTTTTGCAGCAACGGCACACGTCATAGCAAATTGAAGTGGGCGTGTGATTTTACCACCGAATGCTCCTCCAACACGCCTAATCTTACATGTGACTTTGTTTGCGGGTATACTCAGAGCTGCCGCCACACATCTCTGCAAATGAATAGGAGAAAAAAAGATGGATTTACTAACGGATTTATTTTATTAATCGGTTTCACGAGAATTAAGCTGTTCATCAATTTTTGACAGAAAAAAAAACACGATGGGCAACTAGAGCCGCAACTCGAGCCATTAACGAGTATTAAAATTGATATTATGAACTGAAATAAAATATATTATATTAGGTATTTTGTTATGGTGCATACCTGTGTAGAAGACATGTCTTGGGATGACACAATTATTACCATTTCATTGAGTTCCTTTGGCTGTGCAATACAGCACTGTGTTTCCATATAGTAATGACACTGACCACCAATACGAATCTCGCCTTCGATCACATGATCTGACTTCGCCAGTTCGCCCTTTACGTCTCCTTCTTCTAAATGGCGAAATGGCTGTAGGTAAGAGTCTTGTTCAATGGCCTCCTAGAATGAAGATTTACAAAAAAAAAACATGCATTTAATATTGTATGACGTTTATCACCGTCGGTTCATAATTAAAAAATATTCACTTTTGCCCACCTCAATTGTAAGAATGGTGTCTAGTACTTCATACTCTATTTTTACTAACTTAGCTGCTTTACGAGCCAATTCCGTTGTATCAGCAACAACACCGCCAATCACTTGACCAACGTATAATACCTGAAATCCATGAACAATAGAAATGTTAATTTAATTGGTCATTATTAACAAATTCATCTCCATTACTTCATTTACATAAGTAAGTAAGCATTCAATTGAATCTGTTAAGATTAGTTCATTATATTAAGTCTTATATTCATCTCACCTCTTCTGATGCGAATATAACTTCATTTGGATCAGTTTCATTCCACCTGTTTTTACCAGGTACATCATCAGCTCCAACAAAGCAGTGTACACCTTCCAGTGTGGTGGCCTCTGATGCATCGATCGATCTATTATATTATATTATATATAAATTGTGTGAATGTATGAATGAATGAATTGATAGATGGATGGATGAATGAATGAACGAATTAATGAACGACACTTATACTTACTTTATTTTCGCATTTGCATGTTTACTTGTTACAAGGGCAAAGTGCAATTCACCTGTGTGAAAGAAAATATATAATATAGTTGTCTTTAATGACAAGGATTTTTTTCCATTCGTATTGTATGGTTATATATATATAACTTTATTGAGATCTTCCAATCACATAATGTCATCGATTTTTATCAAATATATCACTGTGGCAATAGTCTACTGAAGATGGGTGCGATTTACTTTTAAGTGAGTGACCTGATAGCTATTGATACGATTCTATATATCAACAGTGAGTGTGACAGTCACAATTTATCATTCATATGACTTACGATTTAGCCTTTCAATTTGAATTTTCCATTTAACAGAATTATTTTAAGTATCTCAAGCAAAAAAACTTTTACCTTCTTCTGGTTTTATGTCATCTAAAAAGATAGCTTCCCCAGTGGTTAACTGTAAACTTGATTCATTCATGATTGGTCGTCCCACAGGATCGGCTTTAGACTGTAATCTAGGTACATTCTATACGAAAAAAGAGTGAAATATAATATTTACCTTCATACATGATGTTTATTTAACAATGAATAACAGTAATTCTTTTTGTTCTTACCTGAAAAAGTTGGATGCTGTCAGTGGGCGGCATTTCGATTGGAACAAGTGCTGATTTGTCAGTCTATAAGATAAATAATAGTCTATGCATGTACTAGCCAAATCACTTACGTAACATATAATCACATATCTTAATGTCGAGTTTTTTATATTTAGTATTAGCTATCAGTTTATGTCCACCAGTAGTGACCAACATTTCAATAGAACTAATATCAATTTACAGGCATCTAACGAATATATGCAATGTGCACCATAGGTGATATGTTAAATATAATAATCGAAGCGCATAGTATAATTATTTGTATTATTTTACTTCATGTTCCCTTGTGTATTCATTACATCATGTACACTTGATTCACTCACCAGTTGCTGATTTAGTACATTATGAACATTCAGATAAAATTTGTAGAAGAAACTCTGCAGCATACATTTTCGATATTCTACAAAACCTCCATGTGTAGACAGCTGCAGCATTTCTACCAACATGCGTTGAACATCATTAAGAAGACCTTCATCCCATTTCCTGACATGTGCAAGTATATGCAAATATGAAGATATGCATGTAATTAACTGATGAATATAATTAAAATTAGAAGTTCTAATGATGACGTTGATGTTATAATGTCCATTATCAATGAATTTGTAATTATTGTAACTTTTACCTTCCTAGAATTTTCTCCATAATTGATGTTGCCATAACCACAGTTGGTCCTGTTCCACCAAAGCATAGATTAATATTCTTGATGACATTGCTGCTGTCTTCAAACACAACTTTCATGCCAGCACTAATCATAGAAACGTCTCTGTCTCGACGATGTACTTGATTTCTTACTTTGTATCCAGCGAAATATTCATTCTTAAAATAGATTAGTAAATTAGTAAAACAATAATGAATTGATTTCACAGGAAATTAGGTATACTGAAGTAACTTTATTTTTACCTCTTTCGTTGATGGAATTGTCAAATTAATTAGAATTTCATCAGCTTCTAGACACGTTTTCCTGAATTCCACAAAGAAGCTATTATCCAGAGGTAAGCTCCTGTCGCCACCTAAAATAAAAACATAGCGAATTAGTGTGACGTAATATTATTATATTATCATCACAGTAATGAATAAATAATTTATATAATAATATTTACTTGGTTTAATGTTATCTCATTTAATGTAACTTGATGCAAGTTATTTTTTTCAAGAAACAGTATATATTATGATATATTTTATATATTCAATGGTTTCACATTCATGTACTTTTAAGGTACGCCAAATTACCCCCGGAAACCAGTTAATAAAAAAAATGCCTACAATGTGACCCCAAACCATGATACTACACCACGAATGTAGACTGAACTGAATTTATTATCATAATATTTAAATTACTAGATATCCAGTGACGTAATGTCAGTACAGTGAGCCTTAAGACATAAGAGCCTTAAGACATGGCTTTCATTAAAGTATGGTTATTGTAGATTCTAATAAGAATACATATTAAATATGAAGAAATATTTTAACTTGATGGACAACTATAACTAATGACACAATCACGTTGAACAAGTGTTACCATTAAAAGACGCAACAATGACAGTCGTTCCAGCAGCCATCAACATTGGTGTAATATCTGATAGCGGGCTGGCACTCATTATATGACTACCGATTCCCTGGCAATAGAATAAGAAAGCATACAGTTATAATTATAAACGTTGGATCTGATTGCAGATACATGTTTTATTGTATAAGGTACAATGAACTGAATTAGTTCCACTAGGTGTTAATATTTTTACGTCATTCACAGTAGTACATTTTATTGCAAAATTATACTATTAGTTACAGACCATATGCCATTACTGTAGTTGTAATGGATATGAACTATGCAAGCCATTATACAAGACTACATATAAATTTCTAAATACTTACAGCTACATTCCTCATTTGCTGGTCACCTGCGAGTTCTAACATATCCAACAATGATATAAAGACATCCATTCTGCGTTCTAGATTAAACAGAGATAGCATAAATATATATTAAACATAATTGTATTGTCAACATAATGTGATTTATATAAAGCATAGTATTGTTACAAAATCAGTAATTAAACAAAAAGAATATGCCCACATTATGATATATTTGTACACACTAACCTGCCAACACGTTCACATGCTTTTTGAGAACATCGTACATACGATTCAAAGTAACAGAAGAACCAAATGTGATACCAGATTCTGTGATATCAATCTGGTTTAACTCTGGTACGTGTGTTACTGATATCAAAGTAGTTTTCACATTATTTGGTCTTGGTTCAAATCCTTTCAACGGTAAATATAAATGAAATATCACAAAGATTGACAGTTTTAGAAAGAAAAGCTTTTAAATTATTTGCGATCATTCGGTAAACTGATAGTACACTTGGTGTATTGCAGATAAGCACATTTTCATGGTAAATTACATTATAGCAAACCTTTCAATTTAGTTACATGCATTTTATTCTGTTATTATAACACATTGAAAAGATATACCATTAAACGTCAGAGGAATGGGTAATATACGCAATCATAAGTCAAAATGTTATGTTCACAGAGGTCTATTTGGTTTACAATTAAAACAAATACGGAGATAAATCAATATAAATTTTACTGACTAACCAACTTCAGCATTGCCAACCACCAATTTGGCTGCAGTTGATTCATTCTTCAATTTAAGAAGTTCTTCTAAGGAGGTAGGTCGGATCCAGTCTACAGATTCCCCAACAAACCGCACAGTCTTAGTATGAATATTGTTGTTGGTCTAATGGCAACAAAGCTTTAATTATTGAAATAATATATAAAGAAAGACTAATTGGAGTTATATTGATCAAATGATATTGTTAGCAGCTACTAATAATGACAGTACCTGTAATTCCGGCGGAAATATTGGTTCCTGAGATGAGTCATATGGAGAGTAATAATTTGGGCTGAACAATTTGCCCAGAGACTATAAAAAAATAAGTCGATCGATAAGTAATGCATGAATATGGCACAAGTACTCAAAACCGTGATTTAGATTTCCGTGTTTATTCAGTGTGTTAATTTTAATATGTGCCAGATACATGTGCGTCTACTCACTCCATCCCCATCTTGTTCCTTACTGCATGTTGTCGGGTTTCCACAGCAACTCTTCAGTAAAGGATAATATTGAACATCAATTGACAAGAGTTGAAGAGCTCACATACACATGTACATAGACAGACGACAGTGGACACTGTATTTGTAAGTGTTTCATAAAGTTGATAATAATGTGAAATGCTTATATTAAATTAATAACGTTAACGAGTAATTTTCGATTTGCAGAATGTATGTTCATATACGTGGTAAGTTATTGAGTTGACCACATACCTGTGTACTGAATGACTTGAATCCCTCCAGTATTGATCTATAACCCGTACAACGACAGAGATTTCCTTTCAAACATCCTTCAATATCCAGGGAAGTTGGTTGTGGATTGTTACGTAACAGAGTATACATTGACATTACCATGCCTGGCGAACAAAACCCACACTGCAATCCATAGGATTTAGTAAGTCGTTCCTGTGGACGAAATATGTATAAAAACAGACAATAATATCATTCTTTATTACAATGTCAAACAATTTCATAATCGTTGGTTGTTTTCGAATATACATCACTTGAATATTTGGCACGGCGATAAATGAAATGATACGGTTTTAATGGTTCATATTAGATACGTACGTTTTTGAAATGTACACAATGACATCTGATACATGCTTTAGTTCACGCTCACCTCTAATGCAATACAATGATATAGATTCTAACAAAGGAAGGCATATATACCTGTACCGGGTGTAACTTTGTCTTTGATGACCCAACACCTTCCACTGTTGTGATAGCCATTCCATGTACAGAGCATACAGGCGTGTAGCACGAATTAATAGCAATGTGGCTGCACATATAGTTCAGACATATTGTTTAAGCAGTGAACTATCCACTGTATTTCTAATGTTGCAGCAAAAACTAATAAAACACCCTATGTCGATGTTTCTGGTTATAATATATTAACTGGTATTGACTAGTCAACTTGATATTGCTTGATCCTGCTACATCTACATTGTTTTTAAAGATGCTTAGTTGGCCAATGTTCATCAAAATTGGCAAATATTTATTGTTCAAAATATGAAACTATATCGGATAACTATTTTGGAAGTGTTTAGAGCTTTATTATAAATGAAAATACATTTAAAAAATATGGTACAACTACATTAAATAATCATAGTGCCGATGCACATGAATGTTGTACTGTGAAAGGATACGATATCTTCTTGTCAACGTGGTCATATTTTGACAGCATTACAGTACAAGCTCCACATCCTCCTTCACCACAAGACAATTTACTTCCTGTCAATTTAACTGAGTGTAGCGCAATGTTAAAGAAAACACTTATTTCAAATATATTTTTCTGATTATAAATAAAAGAGAGAGAAATGACGTTTCTGATTGTTCGATTCCATGCTGCTCCTTTCCATTTCACTGGGACGTAAGGTAACCCTATATAATATAATGTCACAGTTCGTGAGTATAATGCGGTTTTCAAAGTAAGTAAATAAATGTTTCCAGTAAAACAATAATTGCCATTACACCCGCTATAGTCCGCGACCATGTGAAATCGTCTCGTATAATACTGATATTTTCACGAAATAAAAAGCCTTTGAAAGCTAAAGTGAAAATACTTTTTTTACCCTGTTTATGTGATCAGAAATTACATAGCGACACATCAATTGAAGCAGTTTAATGACCATCAAAGGATACGTTTTCTCCTGATGTAGTTCAGTAACGTTACTTCTGGTCTCACATTATGATCTGTGAACTAATATTATGATCATTAATGTTTAGCAATCTATCTGAATGCTTGAGATTTTCATTATCGACTGGAAAGTACAGCGGTGTGATTAAAGCATTATCTATTATTAACTCTTGTCTGGAATTATTGGAGAAAAGGTCACTCTGGTTCACTTTACACATGGTCAGGTACCAGCATAAGCCTCAAATGGCTGTTTTCACGGCACAACATCGCCTGTTGACCGACCGAATGACTGTTTTCCTTTCCTTCGTAAAAGCACAGTAAGAAACAATACCACAAGCGATTCAAGATAAACAGTGTTCTTTATTACGTGGCGTTTTACACGTTGGTGTGGTTTAATCGTTACTAATTAATTCTGATAAGCTGAAAAAAAGTGGTGCTAACTTAGGCATTAAATGAAAATTGAGCAAAGTCGTATTTTTCGAGACAAAAAAGTTTGATGTTAGAAGAAATCCACCTGTAGAGTCTGTCATGCAAAATGCGCTAATTCAGGTCGCCGTTTTTTTTTGTTTTTTTTCTAGTTGAGGGAGGGTAGTAGTCCATGAATTTGGGGTATTCTCATGGCTGATTAATAGAAGATCGTTTGTGACGAGAAACGTGCAAATTTGTATAGGAAAAATTAAGTAAAATAACAATTAAGATCAGTTTGTCACGTGAAATAGTGTTAACTATGCTTTGAATTGGTATGGCAAGGTGCATGACGTTTATTACGACACTGAGCACCTTTTTCATAGATATGCCATGTTCTGTGTAAAACTCCCGCACCCAGTCACATCTCGTATTCTGGTGACACCAGGATAACGTAGGTACAATACATTTAGTGGTGTGCGTTCTAGCGGGTGCAGAATAAAAGAGTAAATATAAAGGTTCTTCGCACATATTTAAGTAATGTATGGTTCACCTTCCATCAGGTTTTCAAAATCACAATAAATGCTGATTAGCGTGAAACAACAACAAACAATTGTTTGTCATAGTTATGTATATGCACATGTCTTAAACATATAGTCACTACAGTTAGTAAACCACACAAAGCTCTAACTATAATATTATTGATTTCATAGTTATTTATCATAGCAGACCACATAAACCTGTCGCCGGAAAGGGAAAACCAATACACACATCAGCTGTACATACAACCTCAACTGACTGAACAGAATCAATAAAAGTAACCAAGCAGTTGACTGGAGAGATAGCAACAATACACTTTGTCCTAACATGCTGAAAGGGCGCACATACATAGGCCTAAATTTCTAAAGGTTTGATTCGCGACCTCGTACTGGTTTATAACCGGTCTTGTGATCCGCGCATAATTCCAGAAGACACTGCATGCATTTTTATATTATTAATTTATTTATGACGTACAGTTTCTGTGCTAATGAAAATGAATTAATATATAGATCAACACATTCTTAATGGGGTGATATATATATATTTTTGGGGCAAGAGTTAGGAACGGGGAATTAGGAACCATTAGTGTTGAATACAAATGGAGCGACCTAATTAGAGAGTAGCAATGATCAGATATGTAACCATGGTAACCATGCTCGTAGTTTGGATTCATTTAAGTTGGGGAATTAATATGTTTGTACATTTACTGTGCGTGTACTTTATTTTTTATCATTCGGCTGTTAAACAGTAAACTGTCTTGAAAATATTTTCATCTGTTGTGGTAGTGACCCGTCCAGAGTTCGAACTCAGTTCTCAAGCCAGTGTCTAATTAGTACCACGAGGGTTTGTATTTATTTCTATTCATTTATACTTTTTCACAAATTTTAGTTATAAAATTGAACAAACTTTAAACTTGCTACTTTACTGCCAGCTGCAGGCGAGTATACATATACACTGAACCATGTGGGTTGTCACACAAATAGATAATATACCTTTATTACATGTCAGTATTTGTGGAAAAAACAAACAGGCACAGATGGGATTAGATACCAGGCCCTTATACAAGAAATTGACTGTCACGAGGTCAGGCCAAATATTAACCTAAAATACCAAATAATATGCAATGTTTTTACCACCTCGTGTGCGGATTCTTAACCAACATAAAATTACACAATTCGTGTAACACAGGAATAATTTAGACTGATATGCACCAGTATAATTCAATATAATTACATTTTCTTCAATTCAATAGTGTTAGTCGCTTGCATGATAAACACTATCTGACCCGACCCTGACCCTAATGTCTAGACATGTTTGTTTACATCTTACGTGAACACATTGCTTTTCATTTTGTGTTAGCCAGTTATGTAAACCCTGCCTAACCCGCCTATTAGGTGTTTGTCGCTTTCGTTAATCATAATGTGAGTTGAACACTCTGCGTTTGTATTAAGCGTTTTTTTCATTTGCCATGTGGGTCATGCCATAATGTGCAACCACGTTGTATTGTGATTGTTGAATGGTGTCTACCTCGCATGTCACTCCATCATGACCTAGGTTCAATCACACGACCATTTTGCAACGACTGCGTCACCAACTACTAGTGTGACTCACACTGATCGTTATCTTTAACTTGCTAGGATTTATCACCGTTATTATGTTTTCACCTGATTTGATGCACCTAATTGGTAATGACATTTATTGTAATTAGTAAATACCGAATATATCGAACAAACGACTCATAATGAAGGTCGTGTAATTTGTGTATGTGTGTAGATGAGTAGTGTTGCAGGCGTTATGTATACTTGCGCTCTTTAGCAAATATGACAAACTCACCTTTTTACCATTGACGTATATAACCAACACGTCAGCAGCATGATTGTCATTATTAGTATCACTAGATGATGTGTAACGTGCTGCAGTAGACATGGCGCTGCTTCAAAACACACAAGAATAATTACAATACACCAAAAAGGTATTGTCAACGTAGACTTGTCTTTGTCCTAGTGTATTCTGCGAAATGACACTCATTTAAAAAAATGTATCAACCGCTTTTTAATATTCAACACTACTACCACAGATAATGGTTCAGCAAAATACACCGAGGGTAACATCTGGCTATAGAGTATCGGTAAACATAGGTGGCGCCATATACACACACTGCATGCTGTTTGTCGCTATTCATTTTAGGCGAGCAGTAGACTGTCGACAGTCTAGGCGAGCAGCTGTTATGTTCGATTAATGTATCACGACATATTGTTTTATGCGTCAGCTTAAAAGTGTCTGCGGCACTGTTGTTTTGTTAGAATTTTAAAACACAATTTAATTTAAGGGACCAACATGTCAAAGACGGATTAATAACTGACCCCTAGGATAATTGATCTGTGATTCAGACACAAGATTCTAAAGGTCGATGACATTTTTGTAATTTGATTGCAGACACATAAAGAGAAAACAAAATATGATCTCTTGGCACACAGCGTTACGAACGACTAGCGATTCACAGATCTCAAACTCGTGTTTTCACACAAATTAGCCGTCTTAGACATCAGTAGGACATATACACTACTGTATTCGCCTCTATCCAAGCTTTTAGATGATATATAGGTTGTTATAATAGCATGGTTAAATGACGAATTCAAGTCAAATAATATAATTTTGTTAAATTTAAAGTGCTACCTATTTAATATCAAATATTATCCTACCAAATATCTGTTTTCTACAGAATACGAGTGAGTATTATATACTACAAGGTTATTATGAGAATACCTTAAAGTATGCACTGTCGGAGTGCATACTTTGAGGTATCATCGTAATAACATTATTATACATCTTTTTCTTCCAAGGATACATTATGGGAATACTGAAATCCAAAAAAAGTTTGGAACAGAATCAGCGACTTCTTTGTGTGGAGTCCGGTCAAACCCTGTTTGTTTTTATTATTAGAGGACGCTTACGCGCGTAATCATCCCATATTTGGAATTTGTATTTCCTTAGCGGATGAATATCACCCGACACGAGAAAATAGAAATATCACCAAAATGGGGATGGGCGCTTAGCTGAGATTGAGCGCCAAGTCGGACGAGTATGATATGCATTTTCCCTCCAAAATGTTGGCTAGTATTCTTGGGACCTGCAGCTGATGGTGAAGGGGGTATAGCAGTTCTACTAGCATCAAGTGAATAAACACATAATTGACAAGTCAGAGATGTTTAGTCATTAGCCGGTGTGTCACATCTGTTGTATATGCCCGTCTACATTGGGTAGTGATTGGCGAAAGAACGAAACAAGTGTCAAAATGATAGGCTGTAAATACAAGATATTATAAACAGTATTCATTTCCACTGTTAAAATTCGTAGGGTCTCACAGTGCAAACAAGATTATTTAGGCCAGCAGTGTCATAAACAGGGAAAATAGCAAATTGAAAACAATTTAGCATTAAACAATTCCAAGTTGAATGTTTTTGAAAGTATGAACAACTTATAGACTGGAATAATAATACATTTCTCTAGTATGTCCTAATGTAACAATGTTCTAATCCACATTCGATTGTGGCCTGATAGTTCAATGCTCACATTTTTAAATATTACAATTCTGTCACACAAAAGTGCACTATCACAAACTTATAGTACTTACAATCTGATTGGCTAAAATATCTTTGTATTTTTTTAGATTCGTTTTTTCAGAGAAGATTGAACGATCCCATAACGCCCTGTATTCGTCCCCGTATTTTTGTGTATACGACTAAGACATTGTCTTAGCTGTATAACTGTGACATATTTTGTAAGGCGCTATTGTAAATCAGACCTTGCAAGTTGGCCAAGGAAGAGACTCAAACCCATATCATCAACCACAGCCGTTAGAATATTCAAACTGAGCTATTGAATTTCTAAAAGGTGTCTTTTTTGTTGTTGAAAAAATGGATATTAACAAGTCATGCTTATGTCAAATGTTAATGCATTGGAATATTAGTAGATAAATGACAGTACATTTCATTAATGTAAATTAACATGCGTTGAGTGCTGCACACTGGCAATGCAACCGATTGCAGGCGAATCTTTCACGGACATGATGCTTGCTCGAGCGATTAACTAGTTTGCTTAATTATTTCAAAGTGCATTGAGTTGTGTTCGATAATTTACATAAAAGTTCCCAAATATTATAATCAACATATCAAAGCAAACATTTGGAGAGAACAATATGCAAGCGATAATAATTGAGTGATACATAAAAGCATATCAAGGTTACTATGCTATCTTACTATGCTAAAATAAAGTGATTATTAGCCACATTCTTGCAATTTCATTTCATTTTTTTATAGCTATGCTAATGTAATTGTATCCAATTACACTTCATTTCATGTTTCCATTCTGCGACTGGGATTAAGTTATTGAAACACATCTTCATCAATATCCCCATCAATGTATGAACCAGCTTTTCTAAATTTAAACTGCTTCCAGAATATATAAAGTTTGATAATATTTCCAGGTTTAGGATTGGTGTTATATCTACATCGTGTCGTTCTCTTTGAATACAATGCAATGCTATAATCCACTGTGAACAATAACCAGCTAGACTTGTATAAAGAAGTCTTCATTACCAGCAATCTGCAATTAATAATATACACTATATGATGTCATTGTCTTTAGTTTACTTGTGTTCGGATTATATACGTATAGTCATATTTAAACAAAGCGATATACACTGGAAAACCAGCTGTTAAGTCTGATAGGTACGAATCTATTTGATTGTAACTCATGTGCTTATAAAGGATATTGATAATATGAAGGTTAGATGGATGTGTAAGGCGGCATGGAAATTCAGGCAATGCTAAATACGGTTCATGCTAATGTAAATATTGAAGATAGATTGTAAATGGACTACTCTTCAATGGAACAATACAATTCATTCGCTCGCAACGAAAATCAGCGGTCACTCTCTATTGCTCATTGTATGACATATAATAAATAAATATATAATTTCACTACCTCTTGGCTATCTTTCGGAAAGTTGTCACTACAAGCAAGTCTAATTCTTTCTGGTGTTGCTGGGCAGTCTAGCCGGAAGCTGCCATGTAGACCAGCATCTGATCTGGCTGATGATATAGCATGTCGAATGGCAGCCAATACAGACACTCCTAGTAAACATGGTGGTTCTCCAATAGCCTGTTATTAATAAAATAATTATCTTTTAAAAAATACACGAATATGAAATGTATTTAATTTGGAGATTTTAGTGTATTCTGAAAGTGTTTTTTTGTTTGTAATTAGAAGAGAGGCATTGCATATGCAAAGTAAAGATACCTTAGTCGAATATATTCCATCAGAACAGGTAGATCCTTCCAACAAATGCACATTGAATTGTCTTGGCATATCACTAACACATGGTATTTTATACATTCCTGGCCCCCTGGTCAGTAGTTCGCCTTTATGTGAATATCGTAATTCTTCCACAACAAATAAACCATACCCTTGCATGAAAGCACCTTCAATCTACATGCATGAAAGGGGTTGACGTATAAATTTGAATTCAGTAACAGATTTGAGTATGTTTTCAAACATAAATTCTCATATTATCACCATTTTCTATGTTTAGGTATAACACGTACATTATATTCTATGAGTTAATATGACGGATCAACATCGAATAAACATGGACGTCATCATGAAATTTGTTACCATTATCAAAGTAAAATCTCACTGGCTTTGTGGATACTTTCCATGTGTACAGGTTGCTGACAAGCGAGTTCTAAAAAAATTACTAGTAACAATGAAACACGATGTGACTATATTATTCACTTACTTTCATACATACGATAGTTTGAATATATGGCTTAAATAATTCGTTATATATTTGTTTGGCAACAAACATTGTATTGAATATAATTAAAAAAATAATGTGTACCAAGAAAATTGTATTTGTGGAATCGCATATAAACATGTACTCGTGACTTTATAGGCATTTATTTCAAAATATCATTTTCATCGACATTTAAGTATTACGTAATAGGGAACATGACTTATATTGGGAATGATCTTACCTGTCCAATATCATGTGCAGGGTTTATACTGTGCCCAACATCCATAACAATGTCAACCCGTCTTATCTGATGATCACCAGTTAAGCAGTCAATTTCAACTTCACAGCAAGCTGCCCCATAAGTATGATTGTACGATGTGCGGGAAGATGGGTGATCGTCCCAGTTAATCATTACATCATCTGATACTCTGAATAAAATGTTTAATGACAAAACCATATGTAGATGTTTGAATTGTTTTTACACCAGGAAGAACCATCAAAATAAATAATCGCAACACAACACATTACATAAATTCGAATATATGTTGAAGTTGAACAGTTTTTATACCATTATTCGAATGTTTATTTACATTTACGAGCCACCGCCAATCATTTAGAGGTTACATCATTGTCTGTAAATGTTGATTATGTTATGATTCAACTCACTTGAATAATCCTGTTGTTGATAAGCTTATTCTATTTCTGTATGCAGCACCAACCTAAGGAAACAAATGGCATAGTGTACATATGTTTTGAATTATGCATTTCATCTTATTTTTGCATAGGTGAATCGTTTATGATTTGATTATGAAATGCACTACCCTTTTTATGGCAAAGTTGTAAAATGCATTGTCCAAACATACCCATTCTTCCCAGGAACCTTTGGGATTTTCATGGATGAATGGATCCAGTCGCTCCATGAGTGTCTCACAAGCAATCTAAAAAAGTGGGACAGAAAATCGTTGACAAGCCACAATGATAGAGGAAAGCTTCATGTGATAACACTTCAATTCAAGATAATTATTATATATACCAATACAATTCAAAAATTATTATTCATACCTTAACAGCATTCCCACATAGTGTCGTACCTGTGGAACCAGCAGTTAAAACCGTGTTAGGCACCTTATCGGTACTGGTCTCATTGATATAAATACGTTCAGAAGGTATACGCAGAACACGACTTGCAATCTGTATCGTCTTGGTATGTAACCCTTGACCCATCTCTATACCACCATGGGTAAGCAACACTGAACCATCCAGATATATATGCACCAATGCAGCGCCCTATATTCCATAATGCATAGATGAATTACATAATTTATACATTGGTTGAATATTGAATACACGGACTGGTTCATATTAGATCGAATGACAGAACATATAGAAAATGCATTTGGTAAACACTGTAAGAAACACATTGAACAACAATAACGCCTGAATAAAAAAAACACACACCAAAAGAAACACTTTCTCTCAGAATATCTGAAAGTTGCAGTACAATAGTGACTATTAATACCTACACATATTGCGTGCATATCACTTAAAATTAAAATTATGTGACTGACCTGATTAATTTCGGTAAGTGATTCACCATTAAAGACATTGACAGGAATAATAGACACTCCTCGTTTCTTCCAGCGATTTGTACTAAAAGTGACAAAATACAGTAACAATTTGTTAAGCTGATTATACACAGTCCATGTATATAAAATGTGTTAAATACAGTATAAGCATAGTATACGTGTCATATATAACAAATAAACAAACCTATTAAAATAACTAGTTTGTTCTAATCTTCTATGATAATCACTTTTCACAATACACTCATTCCAACATCGTGTTAAATTACCAATATCAGGGACTTCTTGATAAAAGTAATTACTGTCACCACATTTATACATATTCATCTCTCGGACCTGCAATCATAATTAACACGATAACATGGATACATTGTATGACACAGTGTATGATGCCGTTCGTCACTATTGATGTGGAGTTCATTCTTCACTAATACTTTTCTGAGAAACAAATATTAATTAAG